AGTCCTCACGCACTGAACGCCCTGAAATGCTTGATTTTTCACCTGCCTAGCCCAATTTCTTCAACATATAGATGCCAAAATCAATGGATGCTAGATTTTCGAGTATGCTGAGTATTGTAGGTGAGGGTGTGGTGTGGGAGTCGTCATGAAGGACAGATAATCACACGTACCCATCCTTAATTACTTTACATCCGACTCAAAGTCTTCACATTTTGGCATTATTTGTTGTTAATCTGAAAGAAGCATGTGAATGAAAGGGATATTTAATATTGAGAGCCAGTAGACTATATAAAAAGAATAGATGCATTGATAAATTGTCACTTTTATTGAGGAAATGTATTATGATGCGATCTATATGGCGTATTTAACTTTTGTGACGGTGCCAGAAACACTCTGTGAAACAATAAAAATGATGCCACAATACTCAGCATAGTCGCAAAACCTAGAATCCATTGATTTTGGCATGTATATGTTGAAAAGATTGGGCTAGGCAGGTGAAAAATCAAGCATTTCAGGGCGTTCAGTGCGTGAGGACTAGCATCTCACTGGAAAGTCACAGAAAGATCTCGTTTGTTTTGTTCGATAGAAAAAAGGTGAGGCTATCAACTAGTATCCTCAAAACGAAAAGTGTAATGGAAATTTTGAAAACCCTGTTTTTTTGGAAACCCCGGTCTCCAGAAAACCTACCACATCTTACTGAATGAACTTGTTTTTATGTGGTTCGATGGCCCTGACTCTACTCTTTCTAATGGTGAAAACCGCAGCTCTCTATCTCTTATCTGTCAAAAGTTGTTCAAAAGGTCGTTAGGTCTCTTCTATTTCGAAACGAATAGTAGTTTGACAGTATTGTTACATTTGATGAGTGGTTGATATATCTGGTACTGAGAGGGCGATCGGTACTGCTTGTGACTAGTAAAAGAGGGTAGCGAGTAATACTACTATATTCGGGGCAGCAATCAGCGATTATCTATCGAACAAAGGCGGGAACGAAACTGATTCATATATAGTGGGTCAAAAGATTATTGGTGCATCTACTCAAGTTGACATTGCATCCCCCATAAGTTTGAACCCGAAGCTACTAAATATCTACAGTTTTCTCTATTCGAGAATCACGCATACGTTTTACTTTTCACCAAATAAGCAATTCTAAAGCATGGCAAGTAAAAGCTCCGAATATCCCATAGCCTCAATTCTGTTCATCCCTTGAGAAAGCCTGGAAGGATCTTTCAGGATCCTGAATCTCAAGGATCTTGGCAAGTTTCATTCAGGATCCTGTCTTAAATCCTAACAATTCATGTTGCCAGGATTCCTTAAGGTTAAGCAGGATCCTGTTTAGGATTTTTTTAGGATCCTGGTCAGATCTTTTTCTGAATAGAAATTCTTGAATCCTAACAGGATTCATTCGCGATCCTACGAAGGATCCTGACAGGATTATCACAGAGGATTCTGGCAAGGTGTTAATAGGTTTCCACCAGGATTTAAACCAAATCTTCATTTCCGGATCCTGTCAGGATTTAGAAGTGCATCCGATGAAGATCTTCACAAGCATTGATAAGAATTCCCTTAAGACCTTTGCAATTTACTGTTCACGCTACTTAGTGCTGTTCATTTGTGAAGAATACTTCCAGCGTCATAAATGTAATCATTTCTCCCACGTTGGAGTCAGGATATCTTCAAGTTCCTGCTCAGATTTGTTTGGGAAATAAGCATTCAGGATCCTACCAGGATTTACTCTTACTTCTTTTCAGAACCCTGAAAAGAATTATAGAAAGGTTTCGATCAAGATTTCGTCAGGTTTTACTCTAGACCTGTTCAAGATCCTGTCTCGATTTCGATTTATTTTTGTTATGTTCATCTTTCGTAGGTTTTTCCAGGATTCTACAAGGATCTGCCCAAGAACAAGTGTTTTTGGATCCTTACAAAGTGGTGCAGGTATGATCAAAATCCTGAGGTGAATGTACAAGAATCTAGTTAAGATCTTTGCATGCTGGCGTTTGAAGTGTATTCAGAATTTTATATTCAGGCTCCTACCAAGATTTATAACTAGCCCTGTTTAGGATCCTGGCAAGAATACATAAAAAGATTTCATCAAGACGTTATCTGCCTCTTGCCCAAGATCAGTCCAAGATCTGTACATCTAAAAATCACAATAGAATTTCAATATCAAAATTGAATAAGGCCTCTACAAATTGTATGATTTTTCAAGATTTACTACGTTTTTATTCTGACCGTGATGAAATTTTGACAATTGATAGGAATCTACTATTATTTTTATTCTGATCATGATTTAAATCTATGCAAAAGCAAATAAACAGATTATGACAAACTTTTTAAAGTTTTTGCGAAATCTTTTCAAAATATATATTCTATATTGAAATTGATGTGATATTCAAGATATAAAAGTAATCGTCTATCCTATTTTATATTGAATAATACAAGGAAAATTAGTAAATTAAGGAATTCCCATCGGTTGATTGATTGTAATTACTATTTTTTTAACTAAATAATTTGTTTTTAAGTAATTAAAATGTTTCGGTAAAAACTGTTGTGCATTCCATTTATTTGTTAAAGTTGAAAAAATATTTATTAAATCAAATTAAAGTCGAACACGATATAGTTGAATTTTTTCAACTGAAATGAGTATTTAAAATGAAATTTTTTTTTTGTAATTTTCTCTCAAAATAATTATGTTGATAAAAAATTCACATACAAGTTAAGATTTAAGATAGAAATGAAGATATTGAAGGTTGAAACTATATCTAATAACATGACACATCCAGCAGGGTAAGCTGATCGGTATGTAAACTGAAGGTCTACAGATCGATATTCTATGTGTTCATTTCTTTTCTGTTCTCTTTAGATAATCCTGCAAAGATCCTGTCAACAAATCTGATCACATCTTGAAGGAAACCTTGATAAATCCTGCCAAGATCTTGTCAAGAAATATGACAATATTCCATAGGAAATCTACTAAGATCCTGGACGATATAACCAGAATTTTTTCATTATGAATCATTGAAATCCTGGTCGGTTCCTTCTAAGATCTTGTTTGAATTCTGTGCAAATCTTGAAAATTTCGTGGCTACATGCTTTTTTCAGGATTTAAGGTTTCCTGGCCAAATTCCTGATTTTAAATCTAACGGTAAACCGTTCAGGATCTTGATTAAATCCTGTTCTGAACCCTGCCAGGATCTTGAAATTTTGTGGCTGCACGCTTCTTTCAGGATTTATTGATTTCCTAAACGGTTCTCAGTTCAAAAGTAGTGATAAACCTGCAAGTATCCTGATTGAATCCTGTTTCAATCCTGTCAGGATCTTGGGATTTCGTGGCTGCACGCTTTCTTCAGGATTCTATCGTTTCCTCAGGAAAAAATAGGGAATCCTCGCAGGATCCTGGACGGATCTGTCAAAGATCGGGAATGGAAACATCAATGATTTTCCCTAAGGCTGAACCACCTCTCTTAAAACCTGATCATGTTGATACTTGTCCGGTAATTTCTATTCGTTCTCGCTGTTCTTTCGTTCCTTTTTGTGATGAATTTATGATTCCCACAAGCTACTCACCTTCCTACGAACATAATTAAATGAAAGTACACAATAACAAAAATTAGATGATTTTTAGTTAAGCCAATGATAAAAAAAAACACAAAAAACTAACGGATAAATTGAAAGATGTATTCGTTAAATTTCGAATTAAATGGATGACAAAAGGCGAAGAAAACAGCAGAAAATGAGTAATGAATTTATTAAATTTTGAATTAAATGAATAACAAAAAACTAAGAACGAAATAAGCATAAAAATGACATGTTGCTTCACTTCTAAACGAGAACACAGTCCAGCTGGGTTAGCTGTTCAGTTCATGTACTGAATGTCTAAAGATCAATACTCTATGTGTTCACATTTCTACTGTTCTGTTTAGATTATCCTACAACGATCCTGGTACAATTCTCTCACGATACTGGTAAGTTCTACACTCGTAAGTATACACTAACAAAGTAATACAGACTGAATTGTAATAGATCTTGCCAGGTTCCTTGAAGAAAACTAAAGAAATGTGTCATGGAATCAAATAGTATCCTGGGCGGATTCTAAATTTTTTTAACAATAGCTGTGAAAATCCTGAAAGGATCCTATAAAAATCTTGAAGTCAATATGACAGGATCTTCGAAAAGTCCTGCTTCCAATCCTGGCAGGATCCTTGAATTTCATGGCTTCACCTTTCTTTCAGGATTTATGGATTTCCTGGCTTATTCTTGGTTAAAAAGACAATAGTAATCTTTTCAGGATCATTGAAAATCTTGTTCCAAATCCTGGCAAGATCCTTCGATTTTACCGCTACACGTTTCTTTCAGGAATTAGTTGTTTCCTCGGGGAAAAAGAGTGAATCATTGCAGGATCCTACCCAGTGAAAAATATTTGAAAAAAAAACGGCATAGAACGCGTTTATGAAAAAATGGAAGCTTGTCTTTTAGGTGAAGAACTCGTTCCACAATTTAGTGAACACGTTCATAAACGAAACGAAATATTCTGAATCAGAAGGAACGTGTTCTTTACTGTTCCAAACTATTACGGAGTGGTTTCCTCTCAGCTCAAAAAAGTGTTCTCTATGTATACAGAAAGCGGTCTGAACCGTTCCCTGCAGCAATAAAATGAGTTTCTGTCCATTCTTTTTTTTAAACGGTCAGGATAGAGTTCTATCAAAATGAGATCCCTTTCTTTGACATTCTCTAGAACAACGCCTAGGAATGGATTCTTTGAATTGATGAACGCTTTTCAGACAATCTAAAATCATTCTTAGAAGAAAAGAATGCATTGTCTTCCGTCTCGAAATTGTTGAATTTTTCATCTTGATTTAACGTCAATTTTGAACCAAAATTGACAACTGTGGCACACGAAAAGTTCAAAATGACGTCAAAAATGGTGGAATCTCGACGAGTTGTGCCTTATAGTGGATAGCTCTGATTTTCAAAAAAACAAATTTCGAATAACACTTCGAGTTATGAAAAATTGGAGCGCACCGTTGGATAGAGCTCGTCGAGTTCTACTACTCTGGAAAAAAAGGAGGTTTGCCGAACTTTTTTTGGTTCTGCAGGACTTGCAGAACCATGTAAAGTTCTGCATAGCAGTTAAAAAACTATCAATAGTTCTGCCCAATAATACTGAACCAAAAAAATTTCTGCCATATAATACTGAACCAAAAAAGGTTCTGCCATGTAATGCTAAACTATGCAAAGTTTTAGTTCGACGGTACCGAACCCGGTAAACTCAACTTTGGTCGACAGTAAAAATGTCGAAAGTTCAAAATGTCGAAAGAAATTTATAAAAATAAAATTAAAAATTCTAAAAGAAGGAGTGTTTTGAAAGATATTCGATGAATATGTTATTATTGTTGGATCGATGGCGACTTATGTTCGTTTAAATCTATCATTGGTCTATCAGACATTGGTCACTTAGTACAATGTAATAGAAAAGAATAAGAAAATTATTCTTCAATTATTCATTATTCGAGTGATAAATATACATATCAGTGGCGGAGCCAGCATTTTGGGCTAGGGGGGCTCAGCCCCCGAAAAAACTTTTCGTGAATTTTTTGAGAATTCGAAAGTCATTTCGTATTTTTTTGGGAATTTTGACAATTTTTCTGGATTTTTTCGGATTTTGAAAGCTTTTTTAGATTCTTGGAGAATTTTGAAATTTTTTTGAACATTTTTTGGTTCTTTTGAAGGTTTTTCTGAAGTTTCTGAAGATTTTCTGGAATTTTTTGGGGGATTTTGAAAGTTTTTCTCGATTCTTGCGAGAGTTTTTGAGTTTCATAGCTGGGAACACTGGCTAAAACATGAAATTGCAACCATTACTACATATTTATATGAAAAAATGCATTTTCTAAATTCTCGCTAGGGGAGCTCAAAACTTTCTAGGGGGGCTAGGCCCCCCTAGCACCCCTGGCTTCGCCACTGATACATATGGAAGCCGTCACGGAATCGACACGCAACATCAACAGTGATTTAAATTTCATTACTTCGAATAAGGGACAACCTCTTATAATAATGAATCAATAGAACTACTTGGGTTTTTTTCTGAACACGACATTTTTCATGAATCCCTACTCTGTTTTCGACATTTTTACTGTCGACATTTTTACTTCCGATATTTTTACTTTTTCGTTTTTTCGACATTTTACTGTCGACATTTTCACTGTCGACATTTTTACTGTCAACCAAAGTTCAGAGATTCACTGAACCCATCAGGTTCTGTCTTATAAATGCGGAACATCTAAGGGTTCTGTCTAGCAATGCTGAACCATGGAAAATTATCTATCCGATTATACTGAACCAGAAAGGTTCTGTACAGAAATACTAAACCATAAAAGGTTTTGCCTATTAAATTCTGAAACGTAGGAAGTTCTGTGATCGATTGTATGGAATCGAAAAGGTTCTATACACAAATACTGAACCATGTAAAGTTTTTTTTGGACAACACTGAACCGAAAAGGTTCTGTCAGATAATACGAAGCCAGAAAGGTTTTGCCTATTAAATACTGAACCGTATGAAGTTCTGTGTTCCATTATATAGAATCGAAAAGGTTCTGTCCATTAATTCTGAACCATACAAAGTTTTTTGTTGGATGAATCTGAACCGAAAAGGTTCTGTCCTATAATGCGGAACTTTAAAAAGTTCGGTAAGAAAATATTTTTTCAAAAATGACGTAGAATATATTTGACAGAACCTTTTTCTCATTTATTTTCCTTTCTTTTTTTTTCGCGATACATTATTATACATTGATAGCACGATAATTGTTGGCGATGAAGAATTTCGTTTGTTTTTGTTCACTTGAAATATGAAAACGGAATGAATTTGTTCTACTGATTTAATTTATTGAACTCGTTTGCTTTTGTTTATTTTTTGTTTTAGAATCAGATTGAAATAAATCACCATTCCATTGAAAATACTTATCAGTCCATAGTAATCTTGTTAAACAATTAATTCAAGTAATAATCATTCTGATGATGAAGAAAATGATGAACAATTAATAGAGAAGGAAATTAAACTCCAAGAAGATTATGAATTACCACCATTTCCAGCTGATTTAAAATTTTTTATCAATCAGAAGGACTTCACAAAATTAGCTGCTCATAGTTATTTAAGAAGAGTATTGTTGAATTTGGTCTATGATGATATTGCAAATAAGCATCATTTGCTGTAAGTGATAGTTGATTGTATGTCTTTAACTTATATTTTGAATACGTAATTGTTCTCTTTTAGATATCCAAAATCACAAGATTATATTATTATAGCAAAAGCTATATTACGATCATTAAATATTCCAGTAGATAATAATGTTGCGCATTTTTTTCTTTTAGAATGAATATCGACAATCCATTAAACAGAAATTCAAGAATGAACGAAAACCATTACAAAAGATCAATGCACAAGTTCAACGAAATAAAAACAAGTTTGGTAAAGGTCCAGGAAGACCAGTAAAAAAAACTGATTTAGTTTCAGCCGAGAGAAAGACTGAAAAATTGGTAAGTTATTTTCATTTTCTTTCTTGAATGTCTTTTTAATTATACAATATATTTTTTCTTTCTCTTCCAGATGTTTATTGGTCGATTAGATGATGAACAAGATATGTTCAAGCTTAATCAGATGTTAAAAGATGAATTTAATAAACAACCAGTCGACATGGGAGCAATAATATATTCTTAGAGAAAAACATTTAGTTATCGACGGTTATTCACATGTAATAATGTTATTAAAGAAGTTTTGTTGGAGTATCCGGCTTATTCGTTGCCACCTTTGGTAAGTTGTATGCAAATTTTGTTATCATCAGCAATAATTCATCTTTTACCTTTTTAGGTTTTCGAAGAAGTACGAATGACAACTGATACAAATATTGCACGTAATGTAGAATTATTTTTGCCTGTGTTATTTGAAAAATTACCGGATAATTCTATGTTTATATCAGGTAAAATAATATTTAACTAGTTAAAATGATGTTCGCAGTTGGTTTTCTGATTTTGTTTTCTAGGTTTTTTTACCAACCCGGGTGATAAAACTGCTATATCAGTATTTCCAAGATCCTGTAACATATGTTTTAACTGAAAAAGTAATATTACATTTATTTATATTTTAAATTATACAAGAAATGTAACACAAATACTGTTTCATTAATCTTTCATATCTTCAAAACCTCGAAATTGATCGTATTTATTTTTTTCCTTCTTTTAGGATCCAGTAATACCAGCTTCTTGTATTAAAATGCTAAATGCTAAATATGAGCTGTATCTTGATTATCAGCTCATTGAACAAACAACGTCTGCTCAAGAGGCAATATCAATTCTACTTTGTTTATATAATATTTTCGAAATAAAATTCACACGTCATTATCTTGGTATTAATTTGTTGTATGGAATAATGTTTCAAGATCAAAATGAACTTAGCAAATCATTGAGAAAGCTTCTTTTATCGTGGGATTATATAATTGAAAACAAATCAATTGTTCATCAACATCAAACTAAAACAACAACGGTGAACAACATGAGTATGATTCACACTACAACATCAACTGAAACATATGAAAATGATTCAAATGTCTTGGAAGAAACACATTTTATCCAAAATCAACAAATAAATAATGTTAGTTAAGAACCCACATTTAATCATTCATTTAATCATAAACAAGAATTGGGTAAGGCTTAAAAAATACTACAAATGATCATGCTTTAAAAACGTGCTTCATCAATTAACAGGAAAAGATTTTGCAATGCTTATTCAAAAATCTTTGATCGATTATTTTGAAAATTCCTCTTCAATAATTATTTTATACTTTGTCTAGTATTTCATTTCAGTTGTCAAGGAAAATACACGCACGGTATCAAGCACACCAGAAAATGAGTTTATGTCATCGAGAAAACAATCATTAGATCCTGTTAGCGATGTAAATATTTTTCAAACAATTTAGAGAAGTTCTTTCGATACTGAAGCAACAACTATATCAACACAGCATCCAAAAAAACGTAAACAGACAACATCCAATGAAGAAGCAGCAAGATCATCAGGTCGTCTACAATCCAAGAGATTTCGTTTGACATAGTCCTTCATTCTTTTAAAAGAAAAACATTACATTTTTTCGTAGTTCCTGCTCGTTATGTTTTCCTGATATTGTAAAAAGGAGGGGTGTAACTAATTAGAGTGATTTTTTCTGCTTGTTATTTCTTTCCTTATGCACAATATCACATTACAATTTCCGAAGAAAGTACTTGTCTCATCAAGTCTTCTTTTGCTAAATCCTCATTTATAATATAATCATTTGTGAAATACATACCGAAAAAAACAAAATGACACGACTCCGATTATTTCCGTTCAATTCGATGGTATATCAACGCTAACTTATATATTAGAGCAACAAACAAAATATTTTCTACTATATGCCATCGATCCATATCGATGCTATATTAATTTCAAGTTAGATAATTGATATAAAAGAATCGATATTTTTCATTTTTATTGAAGTGCATATTGAGAAAATATCAATGGTACGTCATATATGTCGAAATTAAAAATAAATATCTTCCTTTTTATTTAGGTTCCTATTGAGAAAATATAAATGTTAAGTTATATATGTTGAAATGCAGAATAGATATTTTTCTTTTTTATAATTAGGTTTATCTTCATGACTTGTTGAAGGTGAGTTATATTTAAGTGTACATGTATATTTGAAATGAAACTAATATATTTTCTTTTTTTTAATTAGGTTTTTCTTGAGATAATATTGAAATGGTAAGTTAGATCTGTGGAAATGAAACTAATGTATTTTCTTTTTTTTATTTAGGTTTGTCTTGAGATAATATTGAAATGGTAAGTTAGATCTGTTGAAATGAAATTAATATATTTTCTTTTTTCTATTTAGGTTTGTCTTGAGATAATATTGAAATGGTAAGTTAGATCTGTGGAAATGAAACTAATATATTTTCTTTTTTTTTATTTAGGTTTGTCTTGATGGTATATCATTTGTAAGTTATACGCTTGAATTGAAACCGTAAGTATTTTTTTATGTTGGGATGTATCTGCAAACTTGTTTAGACTTTTCATTGGTGTGTCTTTTTATGGTGAGGCACCCTAGTTGCGAAAGACTGAGCTATTTGTGTGATACAGAACCAATATCTCCCGACTAACAGATGGTTTTCGATAAACCAGTGAAAGTGGTAACTTTTCTGTAGTATCGAACCCCACTTGATGAGTGGTTATCATTGGTTCGGTTAGTTACTGACGGAACCGTTTTAGACTGAACCATTTCTGGTGAGACATTATAAATGGTTCTGTTGATTTTTCACGGAACCCACTTCTGGACAGAACCTTCTTGGGGGTTCTGTCTTTTACCAGGTACCAGAGCCCACTAAAAGGTTCTGTAGAACTCCTTTTTTTTCAGAGTAGAATACATCTTCCGGCGAATCACATGTTAACTTCACTTTTTTACGAGGATTCTTGTAAGAGATGTAAGTCTAGGTGATAACGGTCAAGAAAGAGTTCCACAAAACAACTTTGACTTTTTTCTAAGAAAAGAAAACTTTCCAGAAAAACCGGAGTTCGTTCCGAAAATGGAACGGCAAAAAATGCCTTCCACTTTTTTTTTGGAATGTGTTTTTGACCGTTCCATTTTGAAATGCATTCCACCTTTTCTAGAACGTTTTATTTTCTTTAAAAAAGCCAACTTTGTTTTTGAACGTGTTCCATGCCGGTTTGTTTTTCAAATATTTTTCACTGGGTAGTCGTATCTCGAAAAGGATCTGGCACTGAAACGTCAAAGATTTTCCCTAGGGTCACATACCAAAAACTATTCAAACGACCCCTAGTAAAACACTTGATGTTTTCTTGTCAAGATCCGGACAAGATTTCGCTGATAACCATCAAAGGATGTTACCGAAATTTCACAGGGAGTTCTTGAGTTTTGAGAAAGTTTATTGATAATTTATTTGATTTATTAAATTGTTTTTCTCTTCCTGTTAAAATTTTATTTTCATTGTGACGTTTCGTCAACGATGTTGACTTCATCAGACAATTTATTTATAAAATGACTAGAATAAGCACATGTTTCTTTACTATTTTGATAGTGGAACCAACAAGACAGTGATACTGGAGTACGTTAATTTTCCTTTCGGAATTTTCTTTCGTTTGTTCTACTATCAAAATCGTAAAGAAACATGTACTTATTCTAGTCATTTTATAAATAAATTGTCTGATGAAGTCAACATCGTTGACGAAACGTCACAATGAAAATAAAATTTTAACAGGCAGAGAAAAACAATCTAATAAATCAAGAAAAACAAAAAAATTCACAGGGAGTTGCAGACAAAAATTGTCAAGCTTTTTTAGGATTGTTGCAAGGGTGTGTGTATTAGATCGCGCCAGGATCTTAGCGTAATCCAATGAAAACTTGAATTTTTTTGGTCACAAGTCGCTGTCAAGTTTCTACAAATCTTATTCAATGTCTAATAGGATCCTGAGTCAATTTTTGAACAAGAAAATATTTTCAGCTGTCGTTTTCCACAGAATCTTAGTTCCCTTTCCGCGCTGAATCCTACTGCCTAAGTTTTATTCATGATTTTATCAGAATTTCCATTTCTTCTCATGTGGTCGCTGAAATGGATTTGAACACACCTACGTTTTGGTGATGATGAACGCTTTAGACCACTCCGACACCGTGTCACATCGTTTCTCTCTGGCACACACCACGCGCTTTTCCACTGAATACAGTTCTGCATTCCACATCCTCAATAAAAATTCACATTATTCTCAAGACTGAGCGTTGCCAGTAGACTGGACATAATGTACTCACAAAAACCATGATTATGTTCAGCAATTTTCAATTAAAATGCTTGCTCTTCATGTACATCAATTTTCATACAAAATCTCAGAATTTATACCGTCGTGCCGTCTCAATGGGTGCATACGAAGAACATAACGAGAGCTAGTTCTCCAATATCATGCATCATTTGGCACTCACCCCTCAAATTTTTAAAACAAATGTTATCAATCGACCAATCGTTAAAGTGCATAAATTAGAAAGATTATTTTGTCACTCAAAAGAAATTTTACGCAATGGCAACCTCTAGAAAATATGTTAGTTATAGTGATATCGAGTTACGCATAGGATCTTATAGAAATCTAGTAGAAAATTTTGGACAAAATTGCAATTTGCTCTAAAAAGTAGAAGCATCCTTACAAGATTCTGAGAGCAAGATGCTAAAAAAAATGAAATCAAACTTGTAATCATGTAAGCGAGAATTCGTGCCCAGTTTGTATACGATCAGGACAATTCTGACACAATCTTGCAGATCTTGACAGCAAAATGCAAGATCTTTACAAGAAGATTTTAGGAACTCGATTTCTTATAACCTTGGTTCGAATCTTTAAATTTCCTTATAAAGATCATGTTTCTGTTAGGATCCAAAAAAATTTCCCAGGTAACAAAGTAGGATTCTATCAAAACGTGACAGGAACTTCTGAGTAAATCTTTTCAAGTTTGCCTCAGATTAGCACAGGACTCTGCCAAGATCTTGTCCCATAACTGCGTAGGATACTACACCACCTTATCTTGCCAAACTCTTGTAAGCTCTGACACGAATCTTGCACGTAAAAACTCTGTGCCAACACCCAGCGAAAAATATTCTTTGATTTCAATTAAAATTATTGTGCGACAAAATCCAATCCGCAATCGGATTGATAATTTCGATTATGATCGATCAGCATTTAGCCCAAACTTGATGTTATTGCTGGCCCAGTGGAAATTAGTTTGATTGAAATTGGATTGATCTGTAACACAATTCAAAATTATCAATCGATTGACAATGTGAATTTTACTGGAAAACAATCCGATTTCAATCAATCTGATTTCCACTGCGCTAGCAATAGCATTAAGTTTGGGCTAAATCATGGTCGACTAAAATCAAAATTATCAATCCGATTGAGGATTGGATTTTGTTGCACAATAATTTGATTCAAATTAGAGAATATTTTTCACTGGGTACTTGGCAAGTTCTTATGCAGCATCTTGAGCGTGTCCTGATCAATTCTTGGTGTCAGAAAATTTTTGGAAAATGACTCGTTTCTTGGTTGAATTTTATTCCTTTCTAGTAGATTTCTAAGAATAGGATGATGTAAGAAATTTGAAGAATCTTGAATAAATCTGGATAACATCCTCGAGGATCCGATTTTGTTAGACCATGGTGATCAAATTCTAAGAATGTTTAGGAATGAGATTAGAGATTAATGTTTTATATCGATTCCAAGCATATCCACCTCTCAAACCTTTTCTAGTTGATACTATCTGAATGAGAATTCTTTCTCTTCAACTTGATATAGTTTCGATGGCAAAATATTCCAAATAACGTTCTCTAATATGTAAAATCTCTGAGGTTCTGTCGTTTTCTGGATTGCCGCCTAAAAAAAAACTTTTCCAAACGCATACAACCACTTCCAATACTCCTTTCGAAAAATTGTGTAATCGATTAATTGCCTTGATCTCCCACGATACTCATCTTATATAGAAAAATATTCTTTACAAAACTGCAGTGTTACCAATTTCTCTCACAACAGTGAACGATCCAAAAGTAGCAAAACAAAGCTGGCTAGCGGATCGTGAAACGGGATGGTTTGAGTGTGTAAATATTTTTCACCTCCACACCACACATCGTCTTGAATGTCGCTATTGTAAAGCACAGCAATGCAGTGCTGTAACTCCAAAGACTTTTACCTATACCAGGTCGTTAGACTCTAAAGTTAGCTTTCGCCCTTTCTCGCTGATAGAATGGCATACTAAGGATCTCGAAAAGCATCTTTACATGAGACTTTTTCAGCTCTATCCGAATCCGGACGAATGAGGGTCATCAAAAATACTCAACTGTTTAAACCTACCACATGCGAGCAGAATTATAGTGAGTTAGGCATGAGCGTCACTTTTGCCAGAACTCTTAGTGCCCTGAGCAATTTTTAACTCAACTGACTCCGACCATGCCATGCAACTTTTCAAGTTCTGTTCCAATATGTCACTGAACTGTTAAATAAAGGCAGACATCAGTTCGAAAAGTGTGAAATACAACTACACTTACTCAATTTTGGCCGACGATGTCAGATTTTCTGATTTCTTATTAATTCTGAACCAAATTTTTTATGTGTTCATTTGAAGCATTAGCAAGTGTTCGCACTTTATTGATAAAGTGCGAAAAGTTCGAGTCAAAATGAATTCTCAGTTACCGAGATACTCAACAGTCAACAGATGCTAACACTTTAAAAACCATCATACACCTAATTTTCTTGAAACTGTTATAATTTGGGAAGAAAAATTTCGTTTTTACTCAAACATACAGTGTCGAATCACAGTTCTGGGACATCCTTACGGAACATTTTAAGTTGAAGTTCCAAAATTTGACTTTTCTTGATCGCCACTGGTACAAGTCAGAGATACAATTCACTCATTCTCTTCGTGATGTTGCCATCTTCTATTCTCGCAATTATTCAATAAAGAAAGCATGAAAAAGCTACCAACTGTAAAATATACATCGAAACAAGACATTTTCCCAGTCGTATTACTTCCTTTTAATCGTAATCTGGTCAAATCCTGTCGACTTCGACTCTGACTGAATATTCCTCACAATTCTCACTTTCTGTTGAATAGCCGTTGACTGGTTACATATTTACTTACATATGACAGTAACAGACAGCCAGAAGACAAAGCATTTGTAACATGTATGCATTATGTATGCCGCAACTTCAGTCTTCGTCGAACAATCTGAAATAAATGAATGCAAAGGGAATCATACGTTATAATATAGCGAATTTATCCTGGTGGCTACTTCCCGCTTATGTATTGATAGTAACACAGTACATGATACCTTTATGCTACCTAATCCTATTTTCCTTAGAATCGATCATGCAAATACACCTTCAATGTAAAGCGGTGATTTCTTCTGTGTTTATATACTATTTCATAGGATTTTGTTTAGATCATATGAGTGAATAGAGAAGCAATTATAACGAATGAGGTTGTTTGTGTTTATATTGTTTCTAACAAGATTCTCGAATAGATCCAGTCGTGCGAATACACCGTCAATAGTAGAGTGTGAGTTTTTGTGTGCTTATGTATTCTCCAACACGGTTCCTTTTTAGCTCAGGGAGGCAAACAGAGTGCCAATGGCAATAAGAACAACATACGACTAAGACAGAGAACAGTGTGATTTCTCCCTCCTAAATTTTCTCTTACTTTCAGTACGGAAATATTTGTTCGCTGCTGTTTATCGCTTTTTCGGTATTTTAAATAGAGCGAAAACACCGAAACCATACAAAAGTGAAACCTTACTCAATAGTTATCAGAAAAACTTGCCAGGGCGGATGCCGTTATGTGGATGCGGGTGGGTCTGGATGCAGACGTGGGCGTCGATTGTGGCTCAGGCGTGGGGCGTGTGTGGTCGTTGATGTCTTCTTTTTTCAGCACCCCCACCCACCCCCACCCCCACCCTCAAGATACCGACAGTGATACCCATACCAGCAGCAATACTAATACCACATATCCACACCAGCATTAGAACCCAAGTACATAACTGCACCTACGACAGTTCACAGTTCTCGAAAAAGAACTGTGTGAGGGTGTGGGTGTGGATATCAGCGTAAGTGTCCGTGTACCTGTGTGGGTGGCCGTGCATGTTGGTGTAGACTTGGATGCTGATCGTTTCTAAATTCAAACTCCCACTCACACCTATGCCTCACCCACATTCTCACACAGTTCTCGACGAGGAACTAGTTCAAAGAACTGTGAACTGTCATAGGTCGATACATAACCACCGCCACACTCCCACACAGGCCCTTATTCACATGCACATTCAATCACATACCGACACGCACAGCGACAACGAGAACGACAACCGAATCCAAACCCACAAACATATCAAAGCATACACCGACACCCACAGGGACACGTTGACCCATAGCCACACGCACGGGTACACCTGCACCGCCGCCCATGGGCTCACACGTCTGCACAGCCACGTAAACACAAAAACCCAGAAGAGTACTGCCAATCGTATTGCATAAAACTTGGCATCTTTCAGTCCATTCCGAGTTAGAAATCTTACGAAGGGGGTGCTGCAATGAACTTTTGAATTATTCTTCCGAATCGGCTGTATTGTCATGTGCAGCAGGTGAGGTTCTCTAGCGTGCTTCAGAGAGAGGCAAAAGTAGTCGGTAAGAGAAAAAAGCCGTTTGTTCTTGATTTATGTATTAGACAATATCGAAACAAAAAAAACGAAAGCACGAGCTAAGCAGTAATTTTAAAACCGTCTTCGAAATGGATAGACATACTGGTGTTAAACTCTCATTGCAGACCGATGCATTTCAGTCTAGGAAAAAGAAAAACAAAGAAGTAGTATTTGATAACAATCGCACACATTCCAATTCACAAAAACTAAAACGTGCCACATACTGGAAGAGACATTACACGAACAGCCAGAACCAGACGGAGAAGAGGAAAGGAAGTTATTAAGAGAAGGCAAATAACATTTTCTCGATGAAAAATCCGATTGAATAGATTAGTAAAAATGACGGCTGTGATAATGCTGCATGGGATTGTAGTGTTTTGCACGAGTCATTTTGGCTACTACTATTGGCTATGAGGTCAAATAGTTCTTGCGCGTTAGCAGCCATACCTAGAGCGGGTTGAAAGTCATCAGCCCAAGACGCAACATATTCATTCCAATAAGAGCTCATGTTGATACCATACTTGGGTGCTTCGGAGACGAAGAGTGCTTTGTTAATGGTACTAATATCGGGTCTTCTACACGGATCGGTAAATATTTGTCCAACCTCAAAAAAATATTGACTCATCACGTCGGGTGTCCAAGCCAATATCACCGTGCGGCTCACATTGCCTTCGTTACGAAAGCCATGCACATAAAATGCAGGCCCGTAAATTAAATCACCAGGCTTTGTGTAATAACGATGCATATTCGCCTTTGGGAGCTGAATTCCATTGGGTATTTGAGCAGGGTTTGGATACTGTTGATCACTACTAAATATCACCAGCCCACCTTCAGGAAAATAGAACCACTCATTGGTCCAGTGATGAATATGAGGAGGAGGACCAGCGCCAGGAGGAATTGTAGCATTCACCATAGCATACGTACCTCCAGTACTAGAGCCCGTTTTTAGGAAGTTATTTATCGCTCCTTCAGGAATCTGAACCAAAACAGGATATGGGTCAGGCTTCACATAAGGAAATGTGAACGATGATGAAGTTTTTGCCGCATTTGAGGTAGAAGAACTACCGATTACAAACGAAATCCAACATAAAACAAGACAAGTACCAACGAAATCCAATCGTATCATTTTCGTTAATGTATTCAAACACCAATGGAGAGAGCAAAGCAATGCAGCAGAATGATGGTTCGACTAATCCTTTACAATTGCTGGAGACTAGTAGTTTTATAATCCATTGACGCGCATACCTTCTCCTCTTCCCCTTTTATCCAAAGTCGCCATATTTGCACAAATCACTCATTCCTTTGAATGTTGCAGAGAGTAATTTCGATACCACCAAAGAGATGGGTGTGGGTGGGTGGGTGTGCGTGCGTGCGTGCATGCGTGCGTGCGTGCTGAAAAAAGAAGACATCAACGCCCGCCCACGTCCCACGCCTGAACCACGATCCACGCCCACATCTGCACCCAGACCCACCCGCATCCACATAACGACTCCCACCCTGGCGTTTTTTTTCTGATAACTATCGCGTAAGGTTTCTTTTTTTATGGTTTCGGTGTGTTAGCTCTATTTAAAAAAAACCGAAAAAGCGATAAACAGCAGCGAACAAATATTTCCGCACTGAAAGGAAGAGAAAACTTAGGAGGGTGAAATCACACTGTTCTCTGTCTTAGTCGTATGTTGTTCGTATTGCCATTGGCACTCTGTTTGCCTCCCTGAGCTAAAAAGGAACCGTGTTGGAGAATACATAAGCACACAAAAACTCACAGATTACTATTGACGATGTATTCGTACGACTGAATCTATTCGAGAATCGCGTTAGAAACAAAATAAGCACAGAAGAGCTCACCGATTATAATTGCTTTTCTATTCACCTATATGATCTAAACAAAAACCGTTTTAAATAGTAATTGAACACAGAAAAACTCACCACTTACCATTGAAGGCTTATTCGTATGATCGATTCTAGAGAAAATCGGATTAGATAAAATAAAGGAATCACATGCTGTGCTACTGTCAATGCGTAAGAAGGAAGTAACCTTCAGGATACGTTTACTATATAATAACGTCTGATTCCCTTTGCACCCATTTATTTCAAATTATTCGACGAAGATTGAGGTTGCGGCCAGGGTTGCCAAACTCAAATTTCTAAAACCAGGAGTTTCTGCGGAAAAAACCAGGAGTTGGCCAGGAGATTTTTTTTGAAAAATCAGAAGAAGAAACAGAAGATATTTATCGAAATCATGAAGCGATTTAGCTGTTTTTGTTCGAAGAAAAGAAGAACTTCCGTTCATGAAACTGATTGATATTTTTTGCTGCTAAGCTATTGACGGGCACATTGTTGTCTAAATGTTGCATAAGAAAAAACTAAGATAGTCAGATGTATTCTATATTACTAATCATTTCACAGTCGTTTGAATTTTGTTTTAGTAAAACAGAATCAGAACTTTTCAGAGGTAGTAAAAGCTGTGATACAAGATTTCCCTGTAATGAATTTGATACTTCGCCGATTTTTATCTATTTCCATATAAAAAACTCGATAAATATCGAAAGAAGTCTTTTTTATCTATTGCATATAAGTTCTTACCATTGAATTATTCTACAAAAGTAATAATCTTAGTTTAGATATATCAATGAAAACAAACTTTTTTGTTAGTCGTTTCATTCATCAAATAGTGTGATGCTTCTCTTTTGTGTTTTTCTCTTTTCTCTTTTCTTGACTTGTCTTACGTTAGTGATTCAAAATATCATTAACTTCCAAAATGAAACAAAATTGCAAAAACCAGGAGAAACCAGGAGAAAACCTTGAAAAGCAGCTCCTGGTACCAGGAGATTTTTTAACCAGGAGAAAAGTCTAAAAACCAGGATTCTCCTGGCTAAATCAGGAGGTTTGGCAACCCTGGTTGCGGCATACATAATGCATACATGTTACAAATACATTGTCTTCTGGCTGTCGTTTACTGCCATATGTAAGTAAAGAAACCCTCCACCTCTAGGGATGCACCGAGCCCGAACTTTCCGGGTTTCGGAATTCTCGGGTTTGGTCATTCCCGGGTTCCGTGTTCCCAGCTCCGACCCGTGTCTCATGTAGATGAAGGTGTGTGAATAACTTAGCTGAGTATTTTGGTACCGGGAATGGCCGAGCCTCGGGAATAACCGAAACTGGGAATCCCGAAACCCGGGAATGTCCGAACGCCGGGAATGGCCGAACGCGGGAATCCCGGTCTATTCTCGGGTTCGGTGCATGCCTACCCGCCCCGCAGAATAGAAGCCCATTCTATAATAGAAGCCCATCCGAAATAGAAGCCCATCCGAAATAGAAGCCCATCCAAAATAGAAGCCCATCCAAAATAGAAGCCCATCCAAAATAGAAGCCCAGTCCTGGGTTTACAATTTGACGGACATATTAGAAGCCCACCCTATCTTAAATAAACACAAAACGTGGCATTTAACATATTGGATGGACTATCTTATTGCTTATCCTTGTTTCGCTGTAACTCAATTTATATGCTTCATTTGCTTTATTTTGTATGCATTCTAATACCAACAGACACATGAGCCTCTATCCAGAATTGAGACATATGAGGCATACATATTAATAAATTCTAGCTGTCTAAGAAGTATGTGAGAGAAATGTGTGGACAACAATATCATCCTGTTAAGTTTCTTCCTCTTGTGAAATTAGGTACAGTTCAAAAGCGGAATGATTAAACTTTTTCTAACTTGACAGCACTGTGAGCATATCTTTCAATGAAGATGAGACTTCTCGAAATGTTGAGCTATGATCGATATCAATCACTCGAGAGCTCATAAGACTCAAAAACAGATGCCAATGAATGACGGTGTGGTATCGATTATTATAACACTTATAAGATATTGAGTATCTCTTTTTTTAGAAATGGCAGATCCTCATTCTATTGTCAAATATTTAGTTCTATATTGTTATCTGTTTTGGTAGTTAAAATATACTGTATTTCATATTTCATATTTGAAGTATGCATAAGCGCTTATGATGAAGTCGTTCGATAGCACTATATTCGTACATGGCTAATAGAAAGTTTTCCGACTTTTTAAAGCTTGACAATTTCCTAAATCAATGCATCATGCTAACGGCAGTTTTCGTATGATAGCAAGTTCCATGAAATGCTGAAGTAGATGAGCGCTTTCATGTGAATACTAGTGTAAACAACGCATGAGTTTTTTGGTTTGACAGTATTGAACCGAAAAAAAATCCTTGCCAGTTTATAGTCTCTAGGCAACCATGGCAGTTCCCAGTGAAAAATATTCTCGGATTTCAATAAGATTATTTTGCAAAAAAATCCAATCCTCAATCCGATTGATAATCTTGTTTATGATCGATCACCATTTAACCCAAACTTGATGTTATTGCTAGCCCAGTGGAAATTAGATTGATTGAAATCGGATTATTGTCGAGTAAAATTCACATTGTCAACCGATTGATAATTTTGAATTGTGCTGCAGAACAATCCGATTTTAATCAAACTGATTTCCACTGGGCTAGCAATAACATCAAGTTTGGGTTAAATGGTGATCGATCATAATCAAGATTATCAATCGGATTGTGAATTGGATTTTGTTGCAAAATAATTTGATTGAAATCCGACAATAGTTTTCACTGGGTTCTTTTAAAAACTTTAACACAATTTAAAACTTCCGAGTTTAATTTCTGAGCGTTTCCGTGCTTGTAAGCTGATAAAATCCTAGCTGCAATATAAAAAAAGTTGATCGCAATAGAAGCCCATGCCCAGGTTTATAATTTTCAAAACAGAATACAAGCTCAGTGGGCTTTTATTCTGTCGGGGTGGGGGGGGGGGGTTAAATACCCAGTC